GTTTCTTGTAAAAACAATGATCGTTTACTGCACTAAACGGTGGGTCGTAAAACGGGCTGACGGATTACGGCCCGTAATAGCGCCGTTTTATATCGTTTACGACGCCGTTACGAACATCCGGAATGATCGACTTGGGTAGTAATTAAGTTCACCAGAGATCTCAATATTCTTTAAACTTGTTATGCTTTCATATTTAATAGTTGATAAATGATAACGTCATAAAAAAAAATAATAGAGATATTCAAGTTTAATATTAAACTAAATTAATTGAGTCTCTATTCACAATTTTTTAAAGTTTTGACTTCTGTTTTAACTGAAGATTTGTAGGGTAAGCTTTTTTTGTACTCGGCAGTTTGGCTAAAAATAATTTTCTCTCTCTTATCCTACACTACCCTGCAATGTACTTACCATTATCGTAACCGACACATCTCTAGTTTTAACTATATGTCATCTCATAAAGATTCTAGATAAGATATGTTTTGAATTTGATAATAATTGTTTTTTATATTCAGCTGAAGATCCATCGGATAAATTTATTGCATTACGTGATCTTGTTTCGCTTGAATTATGTCATAAATATTTACCTGATTTATTCTCAAAAGAATCAATTCTAAAAACTAATCGATTAACAAAAGAAATTATTAATAAAGCACAAAATGTTTGTAAATTAACTCAAGTAATATTCATTCATTTCATTTTAATTGATAACAAAAAAACATTTTAGCAATAAACACGACGTGTTTATGAAATATATCTTCTTCGATCAATTAATCAAAATGACGAAGAACAGATAAAACGTTTTCGTTTAACTGTTAAACAACGTCTTTTTCGTTCATCACAAGTAAAATATTTTCTTTATTTAATATAAAGAATAAATTCTTTTTTCTTTTTTTTTGAATAGTTTGATGAATATCATGATCTTCAATTATCAATGCCAGAGATACGAAAAGCCTATTTGGATTGTCAATATCAACATATTCTTAAACATTATAAAAATATTCTTCGAACATTTGATAAATATCATTTAAATTTATATTTTATTTCAAACATTTTATTTAAATGAGCTTATTTTTCTTCTTTTTCTCACTATCTTAATATAATGTACATTTAAATTGCAATAAACATATTTAGCAGTTAGATATTTATTTAATTAAATTTAACTAAAGTATTTTTTTATGAAATTATTTAACAATGGGAGAAGTTAATGAAATATTCATCTATCTTTTGTACAACACAATTATGAATCAGTTTAGAAATTAAACATTATTGGCAGGAGCGAGAGAACGTTTTTAAATGGTATGAGGCTCAGTGGATGTCTCTTGATTATCCTAAACAAATTTTTTACATATTATCTTGATATAGAACTAAGCAGAGTTTATGTAATAAGCTGCTTCAGACTATTTAGTTGTGTTGTTGTCACGAAAAACAATATACTGTTTCGCTGTGTTCGTTACTGGAGAAGTTTCTAATCTTTACAAAACTGCAACAACTTCAAAAGTATAAGAATCATTTATTTCATATTAGATTATCAATCCACAAAAAGCTTGTCTTGTCTTTATATGACGATATGAATATTGATATTATTTCATTCGGATCAATTCGGTAAAGTTTTTCTTTATAAAAAATGTATCAATAAACAATAATTGAGTCGCTATTAAGTCATAGAAGATCAAATTTCGGCGTTTAGTCGATTTAATCCACTTGCAGAGCTAACAGGAATAGTTAGAATGTGTAAATTTGTAAGTTTTTTGCTGTAATAAGCTTACGTGAGTTCAGTTTATTTCGTACACACTTGATACGATGTATATCGGAAAAATTGAAAGTACACAAAGAACACAAAGAGAGCGAGGAGAGAAAACGAGAAATAGATCTGACAAAATAGATGGGTGTGGGTGTGGGTGTGGTTGTGTCGATGTGGGTGTAGACCAGTTTCTTATCATCCACGCCCACACCCTCCCACACCCACCCACACCCACACCCACACCCTTTTTGAAAAATAACTTTCTTTTAAACTTTCGCCAAAGGTTATTCGGGTAGAGGATTCTGAATCTGGAATGGTTTTTCAAAAATTGAAGTTTCACTTTTTTCCTAAGAAACATTTTTTTCATGGAAATAATGGTCCCTTCGCAAAAAATTCTTTTTATTAAAAAAAATCATTTTTTAGTAACAAGCTGTTTTTTTTTATTGAAAATCAAACTCAAAATTCTAAGAAATTCGTCATAGATTCAGATCCTATGACCACAATTACCTTTGGTCAAGCTTTATAAGAAATTATCATTTTTAAGAAATTGCTTTTCGTTGGATGAATTCGGAGAGGTTCCATTAAAAGCGAAGGGAATGTGTGTGTTGCATTCCTCGTTTCCATAAGCGGAAAATGCCGAATACCCAAACATAAAAAGACAAGCGAGCATGTTTACAAACCTCGCCATATTGAAAGAATGCTAGAAAATTCAATTTTTAGATGGGTTCTCGTTTCTAGCGACGGAATGCTAAAGAACGGGAACGCTGACACTCCTGCGAGTGAATATCTTTATTTTTTTTTTTGAAGGATGAGAATAGAGTTGGGTGATATTAGATAGATCTAAAGGAGCATTAGGCAGAGGTCCAAACAGGCTCCATGTGCCTCCCTGTGATGACATGTTTATTTATTTTTCAAGCCAGTACACTGATGATGATATAATTCAATATATGATTTGAATGTGATTATCTTTCAACATTATAATATTGATCAAACCAAATGATCTATTCAATCACACGAAAACTATGAATTTCGTTCAATTTTTAAGCATATTTTCTTACTTTTGGTGAAAAATTCATCTGAATGAAAAACTGTTTTTATGCTTTTTTCGATGTTTTGCAAACATGACTGATTTTAAAATGATTTCGTCATATACAACATTTGAAAAAAGGCGTCCCATTGTCTTTTCTTGCGATTGGTGAAAACCACTGGTCTCTAGCTGTTTGTTCTTGAGTTATTCCAAAAGCAGTGGAGGGCACTGTATTCTGAAATGGATAATAGAAGCTGAAGAAAACGTTTACGAAAGCACTTTGCTTTTAATGAGAAATTGAAATCCACATTTAGTTTCAATAATATTCAGTATCTCGCTTCATGACGATCATCAATAGTAGTGATTAAATTTTCAATTATTACTGTTGTAAATTGCTCATTTAGTTGTGAATGAGATAATGAATCATCAATAACGATTGTGATGAAAGATTAACATCAGTCATTTAACTAAAAAATATCGTTGAAAACTTTTGAATATAAGTATAGCCACTATCAAAAATAGAAAAGAACTGAAGTTAACTAAGAACACCGGATGCAGATCAACGATAAGATTTACAGCCATGATTAACCTTAATTTCAACCAATCACAATCAGGACAGACTAATTTTTCAGTTCTCTGATAAAATTACTTCACGACACTTGAATCCTAGCAACATCTTCTATTTGTAAGATCAATTTTTATCATGTGAAAAAACAACACAGGCGGCCTGTCAATTTTAAGCGGCTTGCCTTGCCTGTGTCTGTGACAGGCATAGTGACCTGTTTGGGCCTCTGGTGTTAGGGATCTTGCTCGAGTAGAGTGAGTGAATTAGTTCCTTTGAGGTCCGTGATTAATTGAAGATTTTTCGCATAGACTTTAAAATCTCGACCAGCAGCTACCTTGGTATCCATCGCACACGACTCGGTCTCCACAAAACTCTTTGGCAAATCTGATGTGGATAATTTTAGTCTGTCCCGTACGTGCATAAAACTCGCACTCACCAGAGTGCTTTCTGCTCGCGGGCGCGACTAAAATAGCTATCAGTTATTTTTCATTCAATGTTATTCGTTTCACAGAGAGGACCAGAAAAAATTAGTCATCATTTTGAGTCTGTTCAATAGAAAATCGTTGAACACGATGATTTCCTTGATCGGCGACATAGAGATTGCCATGCTGATCGAAGAACAACCCGATCGGCCAGGCCAACTGACTTGCTTCTGCTCCGTAACCATTCACACCCGCAATGACAGTGCCGTGGCTCGCTCCTTTAGGCCAACGCATGACTCGATTATTCCTTGTGTCTGCCACATAGACAGTACCCAAGTCATCTATGAACAGTCCGTTAGGATTATACAATTGTGTCAGAGCATTCCCTCCACCTTGACCTCCCGCGACGACAATCCCTTCTTTTGCACCTTTATTCCATTTCATCACACGATGATTCCAGTTATCTGACACGTAGACAGTCTGTTCTCGATCGACAAAGATGTATGTTGGCGACTGGACTTGATTGAGATCATCACCTTGTCCATTGCCACCAGCCACGACAATTCCATTCGTGTCTCCTATTTGATATCGTCTTACTTCATCATCGGTGGTACCAAACATATAGAGATATCTCTGATCGTCCATGGCTAATCCAGTACAAGAAATGTTATTGAAAAGAATTTCTCCTTGAGTTATGTTACTACGACGATACCATCGTACGACTCTTTGATTTCCATAATCACAAATAATGAGACTATCCGTCTCTTTGTCGATCAACACATCAGTTGGAAAAGTCAATTGATCTAATCGATTTCCATAGCTATTGCCACCAGCCACTACTTGTCCATTTGTATCACCAATTTTCAATTGGATGATACGATGATTACCATGGTCAGCGACGACCATCGTTTGATTATCATTAACAAAAAGACCACGAGGGTAAGCGAATTGATTGGAAGCATCGCCTGGTCCATGACCTCCAGCAACAGTCACTGCATTCTGTACCCATCGGGCATTGATTGGAATATTTGGAATCACTACAGTGAAGGAAAAAGAAAAGAAATTGCGATTGGTGTTGTCAAAGTAGAACCTGCTCTCTCGAGAGTAAAATAGCTACAAATGTGGCATTTGTCCTCGAAGGGAGTTCGGTAAAACTTTCGAGAATTCTTTTTCCGCAGATAAAAACTCAGAAGCCTTTTCCTTCTTTTCTATAAAAAAAGGATTTTGTAGTGATTCTTACATCTAAGTAACGTCTGCTAATCTCAACTCTGTTCATTCTTTCAGAAATCCGGCTAGGATCTATGATAATACGTGATTGTTGGGACTTGCTTAAGTTCTTGCATAGCCCATTTGGATCATAAAAAGTAGATTTTCATCGTAGATGAAAATTAAACCTGGAGATTGTTGTATGAAGGTTCTCTGAGAAAGGACAGTACTAATTCGACGCAAGCTTTCGATTGGAGAGCATGACCATCTGAAGATCTTATTCAGAGTTGCTGGAATGCAGAATCTTTGGAAGATTATCGAAAAACGTAATTGAAAGCTTGAATTCTTCGAGGGTTTAAAAGAATACTGGACAAGCGCTTAAAGATAAAAAATAATGAGCTTTGTTAGACTCCTAAACTGCAATATCTTTAGAAGATTCTATCTGCATCTTGCCAGAAGGATGTCGAATCGTTGAAGAACAAATGTCAAACCTAAATTCTATGTTTTGGGGAAACTCCAAGAGTCCAATATACATTTTTCAAGACACTTTTCACGTCGCAGAACAAAACCTCTCATCACACGAAGTTCTAATCTGCCGTAGGATATTCTAAGCCTTTGCATAGCTCATGTAGGTGACATTTTCGTAGAGCTTTGCCAACTAATATGAAGCTCTTCGACGGACGATCTTGCTATGACCTTAACAAAATCATAAGAAGACTTCTATGCACATAAAAGAAAAGAAAGGTCGATAGACTAATGTTACAAAGTGATTTGCTGGTCTTTCACTTTTTCTTGCTTAATATAATTCACATTTGACTCGAATTAAACTATTTAGTTTTTTTAAATTTTATGAACGAGAAAATATCCAGAAGTCTTCCATTTAATTTGCGATGTTTTTTCTTTCTATATTTGTACTTTTTCTTTTTTGTCGACTTTATTCTATCGGCATCTTTGTTTTCAGCCAAAATTGGGAAAACCAAAGCTATTATCCTAGTTAATATCAGCTTCAATATATCGTATTAGGATCCTAAAAGAGAATCATAACGAATCAAATATATATTTTGTTAAATCTTAAATTCTAAGACTTGTGAAAATATTCTATGAGGATCTTGCTATAATCCTTAAGTAATACTTGTTTTGAGAATCCTTCATTGAACTAACATGTCATGAATATTATCACAAGAGTTTCACGAATATTCTTTTACCTAACATGCTCTAAACCGTAAAAAGGTTCCTGCTGGTAGACGTAAAGTTATCCCTATGAGTACAAACAAACTTCGGTGCCGGAAGAACCACAGAGACACTTCTAGTGAGGAGAACTGTCTTTTTTTCTAAATCTATGAATATTTGATTGACTCTTTCTCAAGATCTGTCCTAGATCCTGAGAGATATCAATCTTGAACTAAATATCAGAGCACTCGATAGAAAAATACACGGGTATTCTTAAAGAGTAGCATCTATTTTGGTTCTGATCGAGAAATCGAAAAAGCAAGATCTTGCTGCAATTAGAGCAGCAGAGGTTCTAGTAAAACAAAAGACCAAGATTTTGTCAAGATATTCTAGGAAGATTTTGATCGAGTCCAGAACGAGCATCTTACAATGAAAAACGGAAGAACTGCTTGAAAAGGAGAAATTGAGAAATGCCAGAAAGCTTCTGTGAGAATCTTTCTGAAATTCTGATTGTAACTGTAAGAAGTGAGATCCACTGTATTTTGTTCGAAGGATCTTACTAATGAGGTTTATAGAATGCGTGATAGACAAATATTAATCTTTGTCAACATCTATGCAAGAAACTTTAAGGACGGAATACGGATGCTACAAGATCTTTTCATCAAACACAGAGTTCCAGAGACATGAAATCATTTTCTTGGAAAGGGCGATAAATTGCTCAAAGCAGAATGTTTTCAGACGGCTGCAGATTCATAAGCATAATTATTTTATCGCAGTATTTGATAATTTGATAAGAATATCTTCTCAGATGTAGTATTGAAAATGATCACAAGATCAATGCTAATCTTGCACAGACACTCGATATGAAACCATAAGAATTTGGTTAGCTTTCGAAAAGTGCGAGCAGAGGGTTTGTTTTTTGAATTTGCAAGCAGTATTGTCGCTGCATAGGGTAGAACTACTCCGGGAAGCACTGATAGCATTATTGATAATAGCTGCTACAACGACATTATGTGCAAATGATAAAAGGATTGCTATGTGCTGCTGGCAATAATTCTAGACAAGAGAATCATGATCTGTGGGACAAGAGAAACTGAGGAGTGATAGGAACTGTGCCTGTTAGGATTTTTCTAGATTCAAAATGCTCACTGATTCAAATAATTCTCCATTCAGCTAAAGTTTGCTGGATCTTGACTGAGGATCCTAGTAGAGCGGGCGTTTGAAATGCTTGTCACTTAGATACAGATTTTGATCTACAGTTTGATTGAAAAACCGGAAATTTCTTTCAGGATTTCTCACAATACTAATGCATTTTGGAAAAAGCTTGAAGAGGATTCTGCTTGTAATTTGAAAAGCAGTATCTTGTGTCAATAAAATGAGCTCGGATTCTAGAAAGCCGTTCTCAGGTTCTTGACAACATCTATCTCGATGGAAAATAGCCAGCGCAGGCATTATTATTAATTAATTTTTTCCTATGACACAGATTGAATCACTCCTAATATAAGATATTTGATCTTATCAATGTTATCTTCAGCTAACTGCAGAATGATAGTGCATATAAACGAACAGTATATACTTGATTAAAATCAACATTTGCGAAGATGAAGAATTGTTAATATAATGCTTACCTAGCTGCTGAGTAGTGGTTTTAGTTTTCTTTGTAGTGCGCGTTGTAGTTGGAATTGGAGTATTCATCGCTATACATTAATATAGAACATTTTATGTGCACAATGGAGATAATTTTATGTCTGGCATAGAATGTGATATAGAGATCGATGCACTTAAGCTTTAGATTAAGTCTCAGCAGTGTTTCAAGGCAGAGAGAAGATCTTCACTGATCTGATAATTGAGCTTTTCTTGCAAAAAATTATGTTTCATCGAAAACGTCTATGCTCATCAGAGACCGACACCAAGTAAAACTTTCGACGATTCAATTCAATGTGACTCGAATGAATCGCATGGAATCGAACTGAGCCAAATCGAACAATATCGATTGGACCAATCACGTCTGCTTTTATGATTTTTAGAAATCTTGAAAAAAGACTAAAGACTTATGCGCCGGCAAAGCAAATTTTGCGTTTAGAGCATCATAGATTACGTCTTATTAGTACAGTGACTGTTACGCAATTCGTCAAAAGGAACTAAAATTAGGTAAATATAGCTGAGGAGCAGCTTATGCAAGCGTTTCTGAAACTAAAATGAGAGATTAATCTGCTGAAATTCCTTACCTTTGTTCTGTTTCGAATACGAGCTATAGTTTTTGTGTACTGGCTGCTGCAGTAGTACAAGATGATTATTCAAAGTATGAAGGCTGTGACTGCAATCTCTCATGAGAATAGCCCAGGTGCTAGTGTGTTCATCTTAGATCATTGAAATATTCTGTTGTCAAATCAGCAGCATGGGTGAAATGAATTCAAAGAGATATTCGAAAAGACAGAATACAATTGTCAAATTAATTATTTATGAACTGTTTTGACCTTCTCCTCTTTCGAAATAAATCTCGAAAATGTCTCATATCTAGGAATTGTCTCCAAAAGAAGTAGTCATAGCAAAGGCAGCCCGCCAACATACAATCTGCGCTTATTACGTAGCATCTTACTGAGGCTGCCGAGTCAGTAGTGATACAAGCTGTGAAACATAATTTCCAATCACATTGGTGTTATTAACCATTAGTGGCACATTCATCCGATTCAATCGCTGAAGCTCTCTTAAGCTCTAGCGGTTGCTGCGTCACAGGTAAATCATCCGTTTTCAATTTCGCTAGTTTAGTCAATGGCAGTTGTTTCGAGAAAAGGCTGCGGAGTAAACGAAGTATTCACAAGAATAAGTGGAGCATATACAACGAAAACTGTGAATAAAGAGAAATGTAACACAATAGAATTGATGTGCTCTTATGAAGTTCTTCAGATCTGGCACATTCTACAGAATCGAATGATCGATTGTCCAATTTATTTTAGTCTCTGATGTACAAGCAAAAGTTCACTGTTTCTTTCTAAATTGCTAGATATAACTACAACAGACTCTATAACAATTTCAAATTAATGGATATAGCCTATGAAAAGAGATGAAATCTTATCTCCAATGATTACAATTTGTTTTGTCTCTGTCATGCTTTATCTACTTTGCTTGAAGACTCTTTGACTCGTCCCCACCGTCTTCACATCAACATGAATTATGTATGTGAGAATGCATGAACGATGAAGAAATAACTTTAAGAATGATTTAAGTTTCATTTGAATCTGTAAATCACTGTTTGTTTTCTTACTTGGTATTGGTGGACAGAGTTGTCGATTGGAACTCGGCACCGGATAGCAAACAGGAAGATTATAACATCTAGGATGATGAACACATCGATGGTTAGGCTCACGACAAAGGCTATTTGAGTGTTCGCATGGAACTAGCTTAGAACAATCCACGAATCGATCGAGGCAAATACCTATATCAATAGTACCTGCCTCATAGAAACAGGCACACGCACTATTCAACGAGCATCGATCATATTGAGATGTCCCATGGCAGTATTGTGATTT